TCTGCTGCTACGTCTGCCTTAGTTGCTGAGCTTGTCGACTTTGCTGCTCACTGTCGTCTAGACTACGCTACGAGTCTTGTTGCTAAGTCTGAGTCTGAGTCTGTCTGTCCTCCGTCCGTCGGGGGTGAGTGTGCTCTTGGCACGGACGTCCTTGAGGACAGGCAGGAGGAGTTTGAGTGCTTTGCCGCCGCTGTACCTCATCTCGTGTCCATGCTGATTGCACCTGAGGGAGACCCGGATGCACCAGACATCCCGACCCCGTGCTCTTACGCTGAGGCCATCGCGGGTGAGTACTCCTCTTAGTGGCAATCAGCCATGGACGCAGAGATGGCATCCTGGAAGTCCACTAGCACTTACGTTAGGTTCTCCGCTTGTCTTCAAGGCTCCTTACGTTGTTCGAGGCTTTAGTCAGCGAGAGGGAGTAGACTTCTTCCAGACCTTCTCCCCCACCCCAAAGATGACCACTCTTCGGGTGCTACTGCACGTTGCCGCTCAGCGTGACTACGAGCTTCACTCTCTTGACTTCAGCACAACTTTCTTGCAGGGCAGCCTGCACGAGGAGATCTGGCTGCGCCGCCCTCATGGCTTCACTTGGTCGTTCCCTCCTGGTACCTAGTGGAGCCTCCGGCGGCCGGTCTACGGTCTCCGCTAGGCGCCACGTGAGTGGCACGACACACTGAGGACTACACTTGCGGCTCTTGGGTTCGCGCCTTCTACTGCTGACCCTTCGCTGTTTCTGCGCACCGACACTTGACTGTCGCCGTTGTACATCCTCGTGTACGGCGACGACTTGGTCTTTGCCACTGCTGATCCTGAGGCTCTCGCCCACGTGAAATCGGAGCTGCAGAAGAGACACACGTGCAGAGACCTCGGTGAACTGCGCAGCTACCTTGGCTTGCAGATCACCCGGGATAGAGCACGCCGCACCATCACACTGACTTAGTCACACATGGTGCAGCAGGTCCTTCAGCGCTTCGTCTTCACCTGGTCCTCAGCACAGACCACTCCTCTGGCTACAGGTCACTCGCTCTTAGCTCCACCTTCGGACGAGTCCGTAGAGCCGAGTGGTCCTTACCAAGAGCTAGTTGGCTGCCTCATGTACCTGATGACTTGCACGCGTCCTGACCTCGCGTACCCTCTTGGCCTTCTGGCTCGCTACGTGGCTCCTGGTAGGCACCGAAAGGTGCACATGGATATTGCTAAGAGGGTACTGCGCTACTTGTGCAGTACATCAGGCATGGGGCTCGTGCTTGGAGGGAGGAGCTCAGTTGTTCTTACTGGGCACTCAGACGCTTCTTGGGTTGACGACCAGGCTACGCAGCAGTCGTCACAGGGTTACACCTTCAGCCTTGGCTCTGGTTCAGTTTCTTGGCGTTCTACACGCTTGTCTTCAGTTCTCAACTCTAGTTGTGAGGCTGAGATCTACGCCACAGCCATGGCTGCACAGGAGTTACGCTGGCTCACCTACCTGCTGACCGACTTGGGAGAGCGGCCTCGTTTTCCTCCAGTGCTGTACGTCGACAACAAGGCTGCCATTGCCTTGTGTGAGGAGCACAGACAGGAGCACAGAACGAAGCACATAGCTCTGCGGTACTTCCTCGCTCAAGAGTTGCAGCAGCGTGGTCAGCTTCGTCTGCGTTACGTGGCCACTCGGGCCAACACTGCTGATATATTCACCAAGGCACTTCAGTCTGATGTTCATCAGCGTTTTTGCACTATGCTAGAGCTTGTGCCCACTTTTCCTCACTTGGTGTAGCATTTGCTTGTACTGTGATCTATATATATATATACATATATACCTGCATGCTTGTTTTTCTAGGTAGAGATCACACTGAGGTTTGTGTTGCATATATGCCTCTGCATGTGAACTGGCCTTGTGGCCCTTTGCTTGTGCTCAGTGAGTGTGGTGACTTTGTGATCCACCCTGAGCTTGCTTTGCCCTTCTTGACTGGTCTTATGACCCCTTGCTCTCCCCCACTTTGCCTATGGGGGTGTGTCAAATGTCATATGTGCTACAGTTTGTTTAGGCTGTAGTGGGGTAGTTACTATGGGGTACAGTAAGTTTAGGGTTTCCTACTTGTACCCAACTCTTTTCCTAGTTCAATCACTCTTGTTCATTCGGACAACGTGATGTCTTTTTCTACGAGCGACTCACACTTCCGACGTACCTTGCCAACCTGGAAGAAGACCGGGACCCCACAGGTGGTTTTCATGGTGACCGAGCCTTCGCTTTGGCAACAGACAAAGTTGACTGGGACAAACAGAACGTGGACGAAGCCTTGGAGGAAGCCGGACCTCTCCCTTACTGCTCTGTCGACGTCCCAATGGATGACGAAAATCCTCGCGAAAGCGTCAACGCCGAAGTATATAATCACTTCGCCGACAACGGTTACGTTACGCCTTCAAGAGTCAACACCAACGAAGCAGAACGCATAGGGCCCAATTTCATACCTGACCCAGAAGCAGGAGACGAAGCAGCTTATCTTGAGGACACGACACTTCCCCGCTACACACAGAGTGGCCTCCAAATACTCGGCCTCGTCACCGCGGTCCACAGCACAGCGATTCCTAAGGAGCCTGCGACAGTTCAGCAGGCTCTGGGCGGGGAGCATAAGGAAAAATGGCGCGAAGCCATTGACAAGGAACTGAAAGCGCTGGAAGAATGGAACACCTGGAAAGTCGTTCCCGTTGGCGTGGCACGCAACAAAACGGTACTCACCGGAAAAAAGGTTTTCCGTGTGAAGACAAAGGCAGACGGCACCATCGACAAGTTTAAGGCGCGCTGGGTCGTGCGCGGTTTCGACCAAGAGCACGGACGTGATTTCACCGAGACGTTCGCCCCGGTCAGCCGACACACTTCGCTTCGAATTCTCCTCGCGATCGCCGCCATGAAGAAGAAGCTGCGGCAAATTGACGTCGCCAATGCATTTCTCTACGCACCTGTTGACGCCAAAATCTTCGTCGAACTTCCACACGGCTCCAACGGAGAGTCCAACCAAGTCTGTCAGCTGCTGAAGTCCCTGTACGGTATTAAACAGGCCCCGAGACTGTGGGAACAGTACCTACATGCTAGACTTATCCGCATCGGATTCGGCCAACTTCCGCACGTCCAGGGCATGTACCGGCTCACGAAAGGTGACGACTACATTCTGCTCATCATCTACGTGGACGATCTGCTCTTCATCGGCTCGACTGACAGCGTCACTACTTGGTTCGAAGGGGAGCTGCAGCAGGGCCTCGCTCTCACAGTGTCATCAACCGTCACGCAATACCTCGGCCTCAACATCCAGGAAGAGGAAGGCGCGATCTATCTCAACGCCGCGAAATACGCCGACACCATCGCCAAACGCTTCGGACTCTCCCCGACCCCCATCTTCACGCCATACCGCTACACCACCGGAAATGACAAGGAAAGCTCTGCTCTACTCAAACCCGCTGGCATACGTGACTACCAGAGAAAGCTGGGATGCCTCCTCTTCGCGGCCGTCACCTGCCGTCCGGATCTATTGTACTGTGCGAGTCAACTCGCCACCTACCTCAAAAGGCCCGAAGCAGAACACATGGCGGAGCTCGACCGCGCTCTTCACTACCTCGTTAGCATTCCGACGATCGGCCTGACCTATCACAAGAACGGAACCTCGACACCCAAGTTAATTGGCTACGTCGACGCCGATCATGCCGGTGACTCCAACAACAGACGCTCGCGCACCGGCGATATCTACCGACTCGAGCCTATCGGGCCCATCTCATGGCAGTCGAGCAAACAGGAACTAATTGCTCTCTCCTCAGTTGAAGTAGAATATATTGCACTCTGCTCAGCCACCAAGGAAGGACTTTACCTTCGCGAACTGTTGGAAGAGGCGAAACTGGCCCAGTTACCCAGCTTCTCTCTGTTCTGCGACAACCAGTCTGCAATTCGCATCGCGAACAAAAACGGATTCGCGAACAGGACGAAGCACATCGCCCTGCGATATTTCTTCGTAAAGGACGAGATCGAGAAGGGCAGACTCGAGCTGTCGTACTGCCCCACGTCTGAGATGGCAGCTGATTACTTGACCAAGAAGCTCGGAAAGCAGAAGTTCGAGTACTGCATGCTGCTGAATGGACAAGGCCACGTCATCAGCAACGACACTCCAGAAGCGAAGGGGAGTGTTGGAAACAAGTGATTTAAGCGCCTCTGTCGTGTCGAAACACTAAGTCGTAAACGAAGCGAAACACAGCGAAGCATCAGCGAGTCAACCTTCGGCGGTTGAGCAACTGCTGGAGGTTACGCGAAAATCAAAGGTCAGCGACCTTTGACCTGACAAATACAGCGCGACAGCAAGGACAAACAACTGACTCGTTATTGAGCAGTTGCCCGAGTCGTCACTGTACGGTATCGAACCGCAACAGCATAAGTAAAACTGTTAGTAACTATATCTCTTCGTATTCCTTGTACTCTTATAAAAGCGTGTATCTCTTTGCTTTAATCAATCTACTTTGCCCTCACATACCAGCGCAAGGTGGTTCATAGACTTATCATTAAACGCTTCCGCTATTACATTGTTCCTACTAAGAGTTTAGTCCTGCAAAGATCCTAAGGGCTTTTCTCAGCCCAACAGCAGCACCCACCCACTTTTTTTTTTTTTTTTTTTTTTTTTTTTTTGGCTTTAAGGAGATCCCCGGAGGAAACCAACCCACTGACTCTGTTAAGAAATACAATCAAAACTCAGCTTCAATTGCTGTGTCTTTCCATAGATGCATACATCCGCTTGGCTCCACAATAAAGAGGGCTCCACCTTTCAACAAGCTCTACTATGCATCAGCATTCACTAGCCTCTTGCGCCTTCAACCCCCCTCAACTGGATCCTCCTCGTCCGCACCTTCCAGCTCCAGTGCAGCGGGCAGTGTCTCTTCTACCACTTGCAGCAGCTGCTCCACCCTCTTGCCTGGTAGACACAACTTACCATCAGCTGCAACAGCTGCTGGCAACGGTTCCCTTCCCACCAACCGTGGTGCCTTCAACCCCCCTCCTCCTCCTCTGCACCTCCTTCCAGCTCTGGTGCAGCGGGCAGTGTCTCTTCCACCACTTGCAGCAGCTGCTCCACCCTCTCACCTGGCAGACGCATTTCACAGTCTGCTATGATCTGCCACGGGGCAGTGATGGAGAAGTGAGAGAGATGACAAGAGAGGATGTAGCAAGATGGGACGAAAGCTCGAGAGAAAGAGGGGAGAAGATCAGATTACTCTAAACAAGTGGCTGTGATTCAACCACTGCTTGGGATGAGATAAGGAGCGACGCACTGCCACCTACCCGGTGTGCTTATAGAAATGTTTGTCACCCACCAGGTGTGCTTCTACAGGCTGGGACGGCCTCAGATTCACCAGCTGCAGCGTTTCCATCCGCGTCAGTCCAAATGTTGCCGCCCGCTCCGTGCACTTAGCCACGGCCGCCCGCGTCTGTGTGGCGGCAGGGGCGGCGCAGAGATAGGTGTAGACCTGGCACTCTATGGCTGCCGGTCCCATGCCGCCCTGTGACACGTCCACTGCTCCCATGGCGCCTCGGTCTGTGAGCAGCTCAAACACCTCGTGGTTTGTTAATAGGCCCGCACATGGCTGCAGGCTGTGTGGTGCATGGGACGGGGGGGAATGAGAGAGGGAAATAAGAGGGAGAGGGGGTACTTGGAAGTGTTGACGGTGGGAAGGGGGAATGACGGGGGAATGGGAGGGGAACATGTAGGGGGAATTGGAGAGGGGGGGGGGGGGTGGTTAGGGGGAATGGGAGAGTGGAACGGAAAGGTGGACGAGAGAGGGGAATACGAGGGAGGGGAAAGGGATGGACAATGTGGGGGCGACTGGAAAATGGGTGGGAAGGGGGGATGGGAGGGGGAACGGGAGGGGTGAACGGGGAATGGGAGGAGGAATGGAAGGGCGGGGAAGGGAGGGGAGATGGAAGAGGGAATAAGTGGTGTGGACTGGAGGGCGGAATCGGAGAGGGGGGAACTGATGAGAAATGGGAAGGGGGATTGGGAGAGAGGCATGGTTGGGGGGGTATAAGAGGTGGGATGAGAGGGGGGAATAGGAGGAGGAAATGGGACCAGGGTACTTCTGAGCGCCCATGCCTCTGCGCGCCCATGCCTCTGCGCGCCCATGCCTCTGCGCGCCCATGCCTCTGCGCGCCCATGCTTCTGTTAGCCTATGTCTGGCTCACACTTTCATTGCCTTGGTCGCGTCGCGGGATGGCCTTTCCAGAGGAGTTCGAGGGCGCGTCTGATAGAAAACCTGCCTCCGTTTATCGAGAAAACTTCCGTTGCGGCATCGCCAAGCTACAGGGTTACGCATGCAACTAGTTTCCTGTCTTGGCCTACTTGTTTTCAACTACGGGCGTTTGCCCCATTTCAGCGATTCGTTTACGACGGTTACGGCAGAAACAGAGTCGCGCACTTGGGAGGTTGCGATTAGTTTTTGGTTCGATTATGAGTGTCGCACTCGCACGCCTCCCTGGTACAGTTCAGGGTTCATGTGATACCCGTTCTTGTTCGCTTCTGCGACATCGCAGCCGTACACTTGGCTTTTTCACAATGTTTGTGAAATCCTAGTTCTTGGATGCCGATTTGTTGCACAAGTAGAGGCGTGCAGATTTGGGTTATAACAATGGTAAAGGGGGGTTACGAGCTGTATAGACCCAATGGAAGAATGCAAGCATGTGTGGATTGGCGAAGAGTTTGCCCAAGTGATGGGGCAGGGATTCGACTAGGCTGTCTGTAAAACAGTTTTACGCATCAAGTGCGCACAACACAACTTACACAACAGCTACCGTACATTGCAATCGGCTTTTCTCTTGGCCAGGCAGGTCTATTATCTATACATAGCTGTTCACGAATGGCATACCGTAGGTTTACCCCTGCACCCTGCACTCAACACAGCATCCGCCCAGCAGCACCACCATCCATACTGGCAGCAGCAGCAGCCGTGGTGCCACCCGGAGAGGGTTGCTTCTGTGGCGACGAGGACCATGGGCTTGTGGGGTGGCACTGAAGGGCTAGTCACACATAAGGTAACCCTTGCGTTCCCTGCATCCGACACAATATCCTCCCCGCTCCCGCCCCCGTTCCAGCATCATCCCTCCCTACTTGGCAGCAGCAGCAGCAGCTGCACCAGGAGGGGGTCTCTGCCTGCCATCGGGAATGGCGATGAGAACCATGGGCTTGTGCGGCCTCACGAGCGGCTGGTCACAGATGTAGTAGCCCTTGCGCTCCAGCTGTATGATGTCCCCCCGCTGCAGGTTGCGCATGTTGGCGTCTCCCACCGCCGCCTCCTCCCACCGCGTGCGCGGGTTGAGTGCCGCCAGGAAGTCATCGCCCTCATCCAACTGGGAGATGCACAGAGGGAGGGAGCGATCGAGGTGGGTTAGTGGGGAGAGAGGGATGGAAGTGAGGGAGAGAGGGAGGAGAGGGAGAGGGAAATATCACCTTACATGCTTCCTAACCACCGCACCTTCCTCTTGCAACTATCCCACCTTCTTCATAACTACCGCACCACTTTCGTAACCACAGCACCGGCACACCTTCTCCTCTTGGTGATGAGGTAGTCCAGCTCCACGAGAGAGGTGGTGGGAGAGAGAGAGGGAGAGAGAGAGAGAGAGAGAGAGAGAGAGAGAGAGAGAGAGAGAGAGAGAGAGAGAGAGAGAGAGAGAGAGAGAGAGAGAGAGGAGAGGGGATTCGTCGCCGTACCACCGCACCTCCTTTGTAACCACCATGCAGCAGGTCGCACCTTCTTGCTGATGAGGTAGTCCAGCTCCACGAGAGTAAGAGGCACGAGCTCATCACTTCATGTCGCACCGCACCTTATCTGTAACCACCGTACCACCACACCATCCCACCAGCGCACCTTCTTCTTGGTGATGAGGTAGTCCAGCTCCACAAGGGTGAGAGGCACGAGCTCATCGCTGTCTGCCAGCCACGTCAGCTTCAGCTTTGTCGTCTTCACCGACCCCTCCAGATGCAGCACCCCCTCCATCGCCTCCACCTCCCCCTCGCCCTCCCCTCCCCCCTCCTTCGCTCCCCCTTCCCCCTCCCCCCCCCTCCCGCATGGTCTTGCGCTGCACAATGGCATTCCCCCAGTCCATGAGAGTCACCTCCTCGCCCTCTTTGATCACGCGTGCGTCTGCCCCCTCCAGCCACACGCGCCGGGAGAACACCGTCGCCTTCATGCCCGCTGGGGGGTGCTTCTTGTGCCGCGGCAGCACGCGCACAAAGGGGGCTTCGGGCCCGTTGGTGAGGGTGAGCGGCACGCGGGCGGCGAGGAGGATGGCGGTGTGGCGCGGACACACAGGGTCGATCAGTTTCTTGTTGATCGTCCATAGCTTGTCCATCTCCATTAGGTTCAGGTTCTTGGACGCTCCCTGGAAGGGTGAGAGGCAGCGAGGAACGAAGTGAGAAAGTGACAAGGATCCATCACGCCATCGCACATCGTCCACAGCTTGTCCATCTCCATCAGGTTCAGGTTCTTAGACGCTCCCTGCCAGGGGAAGGTGGATGGGGAGGAAGGGGTTGAGGGGGGGACAAGAGGCGAGGGAGGGAGTGAGGGAAAGAGACGGATGTGCCACTCCTTGTTGATCGTCCACAACTTGTCCATCTCCGTCAGGGTCAGGTTCTTGGATGCACCCTGGGAAGGGGAGGAGATGAGGGAAAGAGCGAGTGAAGCATGGAGTGAGGGAACAAGAACGAACGATCACCCCATCACCGATCATCCACAGCGCATCTAGCTCCATCAAGTTCAACCAGTTAGCTGGGGTGAGGCGAACAGGGAGGAGAGCCACAAGGAGAGGCGATGAATCACCCCTTCATTTTAGAACCCCAAATCAGCCCACCCTTCTCCATGAACTCACGTTCGTGAGCACGCGCTTGGGAGCGGGAGAAGGAACCACACGTAACTGCTTGAATTGGCTCAGAGACCACACATGCAACTAGGGGTGACCAAAATCACGAATGCCTGTTCGGTTCGCCTCGAACACGTTCGAGGCAAACCGAACAGGCTTTTTTTTTGGCCTTAAGTGTTCGGGGCGAACATGTTCGATGTTCGCCCGAACATGTTCGTGTTCGGGGCGCTGCTGCAATTTGCCCCGCGTCGAACACGAACGTGTTCAAGGTTCGCTCGAACACGCCTTCACAGGCGAACACCGAACACCCTTTTTGGCTAAAAGTGTTCGCCAAACAGAACACTGTTCGGTTCGGCGAACGGCTGTGTTCGTGCAGGGGCGAACACAAACACGTTCGTGTTCGCCCCTTGCTCACCCCTACATGCAACCATGATTCATGAAATCTCAACTCGTCGCCTCACCACTCGAAATGCAAGATCACATACGAACTGGGTCTCAGCAGTTTATCTGCCTTACCACCCGCACAATTTATTTGTGCTCCTTGCTGCAAGTCCTTCCGGTCAGTAATACAGTACATGCTATGCTGCAAAGTGACAAGGCTTGCGTGGCACCTGAAGTCTCAATCGACACATAGTGAAGCGGGCCCACCTTTGCCCCCTGCCTTAAAGCCCACTTCAAGCCCACTTCAAGCCCACTTCAAGCCCACTTCAAGCCCACTTCAAGCCCACTTCAAGCCCACTTCAAGCCCACTTCAAGCCCACTTTATGCCCACTTCAAGCCCACTTCAAGCCCACTTCAAGCCCACTTCAAGCCCACTTCAAGCCCACTTTAAGCCCACTTTAAGCCCACTTCAAGCCCACTTCAAGCCCACTTCAAGCCCACTTCAAGCCCACTTCAAGCCCACTTCAAGCCCACTTCAAGCCCACTTCAAGCCCACTTCAAGCCCACTTCAAGCCCACTTCAAGCCCACTTCAAGCCCACTTCAAGCCCACTTCAAGCCCACTTCAAGCCCACTTCAAGCCCACTTCAAGCCCACTTCAAGCCCACTTTATGCCCACTTTATGCCCACTTCAAGCCCACTTTAAGCCCACTTTAAGCCCACTTTAAGCCCACTTCAAGCCCACTTCAAGCCCACTTCAAGCCCACTTCAAGCCCACTTCAAGCCCACTTCAAGCCCACTTCAAGCCCACTTCAAGCCCACTTCAAGCCCACTTCAAGCCCACTTCAAGCCCACTTCAAGCCCACTTCAAGCCCACTTCAAGCCCACTTCAAGCCCACTTTATGCCCACTTTAAGCCCACTTTAAGCCCACTTCAAGCCCACTTCAAGCCCAATTCAAGCCCAATTCAAGCCCACTTTAAGCCCACTTCAAGCCCACTTCAAGCCCACTTCAAGCCCACTTCAAGCCCACTTCAAGCCCACTTCAAGCCCACTTCAAGCCCACTTCAAGCCCACTTCAAGCCCACTTCAAGCCCACTTCAAGCCCACTTTATGCCCACTTCAAGCCCACTTCAAGCCCACTTTAAGCCCACTTCAAGCCCACTTCAAGCCCACTTCAAGCCCACTTCAAGCCCACTTCAAGCCCACTTCAAGCCCACTTCAAGCCCACTTCAAGCCCACTTCAAGCCCACTTCAAGCCCACTTCAAGCCCACTTCAAGCCCACTTCAAGCCCACTTCAAGCCCACTTCAAGCCCACTTCAAGCCCACTTCAAGCCCACTTCAAGCCCACTTTATGCCCACTTTAAGCCCACTTCAAGCCCACTTCAAGCCCACTTCAAGCCCACTTCAAGCCCACTTCAAGCCCACTTCAAGCCCACTTCAAGCCCACTTCAAGCCCACTTCAAGCCCACTTCAAGCCCACTTCAAGCCCACTTCAAGCCCACTTTAAGCCCACTTTAAGCCCACTTTAAGCCCACTTCAAGCCCAATTCAAGCCCACTTCAAGCCCACTTCAAGCCCACTTCAAGCCCACTTCAAGCCCACTTCAAGCCCACTTCAAGCCCACTTCAAGCCCACTTCAAGCCCACTTCAAGCCCACTTCAAGCCCACTTCAAGCCCACTTTATGCCCACTTTATGCCCACTTCAAGCCCACTTCAAGCCCACTTTAAGCCCACTTCAAGCCCACTTCAAGCCCACTTCAAGCCCACTTCAAGCCCACTTCAAGCCCACTTCAAGCCCACTTCAAGCCCACTTCAAGCCCACTTCAAGCCCACTTCAAGCCCACTTTAAGCCCACTTTAAGCCCACTTTAAGCCCACTTCAAGCCCACTTTAAGCCCACTTCAAGCCCTTAAGCCCACTTCAAGCCCACTTCAAGCCCACTTCAAGCCCACTTTAAGCCCACTTCAAGCCCACTTCAAGCCCACTTCAAGCCCACTTCAAGCCCACTTCAAGCCTACTTCAAGCCCACTTCAAGCCCACTTCAAGCCCACTTCAAGCCCACTTCAAGCCCACTTCAAGCCCACTTCAAGCCCACTTCAAGCCCACTTCAAGCCCACTTCAAGCCCACTTCAAGCCCACTTCAAGCCCACTTCAAGCCCACTTCAAGCCCACTTCAAGCCCACTTTATGCCCACTTTATGCCCACTTCAAGCCCACTTTAAGCCCACTTTAAGCCCACTTTAAGCCCACTTCAAGCCCACTTCAATCCCACTTCAAGCCCACTTCAAGCCCACTTCAAGCCCACTTCAAGCCCACTTCAAGCCCACTTCAAGCCCACTTCAAGCCCACTTCAAGCCCACTTCAAGCCCACTTCAAGCCCACTTCAAGCCCACTTCAAGCCCACTTCAAGCCCACTTCAAGCCCACTTCAAGCCCACTTCAAGCCCACTTATGCCCACTTTATGCCCACTTCAAGCCCACTTTAAGCCCACTTGAAGCCCACTTCAAGCCCACTTCAAGCCCACTTCAAGCCCACTTCAAGCCCACTTTATGCCCACTTCAAGCCCACTTCAAGCCCACTTCAAGCCCACTTCAAGCCCACTTCAAGCCCACTTCAAGCCCACTTCAAGCCCACTTCAAGCCCACTTCAAGCCCACTTCAAGCCCACTTCAAGCCCACTTCAAGCCCACTTTAAGCCCACTTCAAGCCCACTTCAAGCCCACTTCAAGCCCACTTCAAGCCCACTTCAAGCCCACTTCAAGCCCACTTCAAGCCCACTTCAAGCCCACTTCAAGCCCACTTCAAGCCCACTTCAAGCCCACTTCAAGCCCACTTCAAGCCCACTTCAAGCCCACTTCAAGCCCACTTCAAGCCCACTTCAAGCCCACTTCAAGCCCACTTCAAGCCCACTTCAAGCCCACTTCAAGCCCACTTCAAGCCCACTTCAAGCCCACTTCAAGCCCACTTCAAGCCCACTTCAAGCCCACTTCAAGCCCACTTCAAGCCCACTTCAAGCCCACTTCAAGCCCACTTCAAGCCCACTTCAAGCCCACTTCAAGCCCACTTCAAGCCCACTTCAAGCCCACTTCAAGCCCACTTCAAGCCCACTTCAAGCCCACTTCAAGCCCACTTCAAGCCCACTTCAAGCCCACTTCAAGCCCACTTCAAGCCCACTTCAAGCCCACTTCAAGCCCACTTCAAGCCCACTTCAAGCCCACTTCAAGCCCACTTCAAGCCCACTTCAAGCCCACTTCAAGCCCACTTCAAGCCCACTTCAAGCCACTTCAAGCCCACTTCAAGCCCACTTCAAGCCCACTTCAAGCCCACTTCAAGCCCACTTCAAGCCCACTTCAAGCCCACTTCAAGCCCACTTCAAGCCCACTTCAAGCCCACTTCAAGCCCACTTCAAGCCCACTTCAAGCCCACTTCAAGCCCACTTCAAGCCCACTTCAAGCCCACTTCAAGCCCACTTCAAGCCCACTTCAAGCCCACTTCAAGCCCACTTCAAGCCCACTTCAAGCCCACTTCAAGCCCACTTCAAGCCCACTTCAAGCCCACTTCAAGCCCACTTCAAGCCCACTTCAAGCCCACTTCAAGCCCACTTCAAGCCCACTTCAAGCCCACTTCAAGCCCACTTCAAGCCCACTTCAAGCCACTTCAAGCCCACTTCAAGCCCACTTCAAGCCCACTTCAAGCCCACTTCAAGCCCACTTCAAGCCCACTTCAAGCCCACTTCAAGCCCACTTCAAGCCCACTTCAAGCCCACTTCAAGCCCACTTCAAGCCCACTTCAAGCCCACTTCAAGCCCACTTCAAGCCCACTTCAAGCCCACTTCAAGCCCACTTCAAGCCCACTTCAAGCCCACTTCAAGCCCACTTCAAGCCCACTTCAAGCCCACTTCAAGCCCACTTCAAGCCCACTTCAAGCCCACTTTATGCCCACTTCAAGCCCACTTCAAGCCCACTTCAAGCCCACTTTAAGCCCACTTCAAGCCCACTTCAAGCCCACTTCAAGCCCACTTCAAGCCCACTTCAAGCCCACTTCAAGCCCACTTCAAGCCCACTTCAAGCCCACTTCAAGCCCACTTCAAGCCCACTTCAAGCCCACTTCAAGCCCACTTCA